ATAGGTTTGAAATATTTTTTAAAAAGTTGGAAGGAAAAGTATACATACAGTATTATTAAAGATTATGAAACACAAAAGAAAAAGAAAGCTAAAAGAAAGATTATTACACATCAGGGAGGGAAGAATTAAAGTAGCTATCTTGGGATCTATTCACTTCCTTAACCAGGAGGAAACTCTAGGAAAGGGAGGTGATCCAGTTTAGTTTTCCTGTTAATATGCTGATAAGTGGTCCCTCTGGTAGACGAGATAATGAGTTTTTGTTAGGAGGAAGGTCCTTATCTGAAGAATGCTCTTAGTAGGCTGTCCCTTGCTAATAATGCTTACAATAAACAAATCCAAAATCTATGGGTTTATGAAACCTGGCACAATGGAGAATATCATGCAAGCTACATAACCTTGGGATATTAAATGGAGAAGTTTCAAAATGTAAATGTCCCTGATATGAGGTAATAACCAGACTTCCTCATTTGGAGACTCTGGGCTGGAAAGTACATGTCTGATGGGCAAAGGAAGGACCTGTGGAATTACATAAGAGTCCCAGATTACTCTCCTTACTTCACCTGTTCCATTTGACTACTTGCATTCTTACAGTTATTAGTAAAGCTGATTCTAGGTAAGATATCTAACAGGTTGAATCTGATTTGATAACATGATTATTTGTACTGGCTCACAAATAAAACTGTCAGAAATAATTATAGTGTAAGATTAAAGATACTTTTAATACAACTACTTTAATAGAATAAATGAACAAAATGTTACATTGACATAGCTAATTAACACAGTACAGTGTACTCACAGGCTATAATAAAGTATCTTTTACCCTATGGAGAAACTTGTTTTAGCATTCACAGGAAGAAAGCTTACCAAAATCACAGTATGTGAAACTACAGGAAAAAAGCTTAATAACTTTCAAAAAAGCATATAAAACCAGACATAACACAAAATTCTAAACAGTATATGAATATATATGATGATAAACCTCTAATCTAAGGGGTGTATGCAGCCTAGAATACTTCCGAACATGTCTTCTGATCACTTTGTTTCTGGCTTCAGCTGTGCAGAAGCCTGAAACAAAGTGGTCCTAACTGCTGATTATAAATTCAAAGGATTATTTTTCTTTAAGACTCTCTATCATCCAGTCTGTAGTGGCGTGGCGTGATTTTGGCTCACTGCAACCTCTGCTGCCTTGGTTCAAGCAATTCTCCTGCCTTAGCCTCCCGAGTAGCTGGGATTACAGGTACCTGCCACCATGCCCGACTAATATTTGTGTTTTTAGTAGAGATGGGCTTTCACCATCTTGGCCAGTCTGGTCTTGAACTTCTGACCTCGTGATCCACCCACCTCAGCCTCCCAAAGTTCTGGGATTACAGGCTTAAGCCAGTTTGCCTGGCCGGATGGTTTTAATAATAGATTTCAGAATGTAAAACTAGGGGAAGAATAAAACAAAAGGAGAAAGAATTTTAAACTAGAGGAGAAGTAAGAGGTAGCAGGCAGAACAAGGTCTCAAAGAATACAAAAATTCTCATTTTAAAGAATATTTAACGTAGGAAGAAGTAACAACCTTAGAGAGGAAGAGATTAAAAAAGAATACAGATAGGCTGGGCGTGGTGGTTCACACCAGTATTCCCAGCACTTTGGGAGGCTGAGGTGGGTGGATCACCTGAGGTCAGGTGTTTGAGACCAGCCTGGGCAACATGGCAAAACCACATCTCTACTAAAAACACGAAAGTGCTGGGTGTGGTGGCAGCTGCCTGTAGTCCCAACTACTCAGGAGGCTGTGGCAGAATTGTTTTAATCTAGGAAGCACAAGTTGCAGTGAGCAAGACTTCACAGTGACTGAACTCCAGAGGCAAAACTCTCTCAAAAAAAAAAAAAAAAGAATGCAAATATAGGTTACTGTAATATATTTAGCTGTGAAAAATTAAAGGATCTGAAAATATGTTGCACATCTTTGGGCCCTTCTTTTCCCTAGATGGCAAATTTCATGTTTATTAAATTATCTCCTCCAATATCTAGGAAAGTGAGTCTGGATATATCATAGGATGTTCACAACTTACTGAAGCAGTAAACTAAAGTGGATAACATAATTAGCTTTATAGTCAGTTATAAGCTGCTTTATTTCTCTAAGCTTGGGTTTCATATTCTGTAAGATAGGAATAAAAATGATATCTACCTAGTGAGACAGTAAATATAAAACACATAATATACTGCCAGGCACATAGTAAATGCTCAGCAAAAGCTAGTTATTACCATTATTATCGAGTAAGAGATTTGTTGCACATTTTGAGTAATTTCAATATATGCTTGCATTTTACCATTTCCTTCTCCAGCTGTAACTTACTGATCTGTAAATGTTGGTAAGTTAATTTAACTTTAACTTTCAAAGAAAAAGAAACTGTTTTAGAAGCCAGTATTTATACTAATATCAAAGTTAAAAGTATGGACACTATTAAAAAGGCAGCAAAGACTTGGGTTTCATACACCATAGTCTATAAAATTAGAACCTATGATTTTATAGTATCATAAAGATCAGGCCAATTTTTTTTCTTGGTTGGCCAGAAAAAAACAAACTCCCATTTCTAAAAATACTCAGGTTTTCTTCACAAAGAAGTCATCCTGCAACAAAACACCCTATCATTATAGAAAGCAAGAATAGGACAGTATGTCATCAATAAGACTATAAAAATGCAGTGGTATCTGAGCCAAGGAAAAAATTTCTCTGGGAAAATAAATAAGTAGTGGTTTTATTCTCCAAATTTGAGACTGAGAGTTTGTTTTGTCATGATTTCTTTGATACTCCCAATTAGGTAATAACCATTTCCTAAGAAAATTACAAACGACTTTTTAGTTAAGAAAAATGCTGTTAGGTATTTGCTTCATTTAGAAAAGACGACAAAATTTGTAAAAGAACCATAAATGAGGAATGAAATTTGACACCTAAAGAAAGCAAATATATAGCCTTTCTAGTACTCTTTTTATTCTAGTACTCTTTCTATATTTAAATTTATTCCAGTTTTTAAAAGGCATTACAAAAGAAGTTGAAGTCAGAGCAGCCAACCCAGCATACCCTAACTCCTACCACAAACTCAAGACATATACATACTATGAATTTTATGAATTCCAGAAATACATAGGCTACGAATTTGGCTTTCTATAGTGCAACAATTCCATAGTGAGCTTATATGATCACAGGGAAAAACAGAACACAAATCAAACCAAACCAAACCAAACCATGGCAGTGATGTAGTAATCTTGTAAACCTACAAACTTTCTCACTGAATCTCAAAGATCTCCCTTTGCTGATGAGATTCAAAAACAGAAACAGAAAACAGGCTTTACATTTAGATAAAAAATGACAACTTTTCTAATTAATCAAATTCATTATCAAAATTTACAAAAGAGAAGTATTCTATAGATTGTGTATCTTTTGTTTGCAAACTCTTCATACACTGCACACAAGTTTGTTATATTCAATAAACCATGGAAAGAATGTAGTGTTTGTGTGTGTGTGCGCGCGCGCGCGTGTGTGTATAAATTTGTTTATTCCAGTTTTTAAACAGTATTAGAAAAGAAGTTAAAGTCAGAGTAGCCAACTATATATTGCATGTGTTTACGTATGTATATGTATAGATATGTATGTATATACACACACACACACACACACACACTGCATTCTTTCCATGGTAAAATAAAATCAGCAATTATATAGTAGCAGAAAGCCTCCGAATAATTTAAGACTCCAAAAATGACTATTCAGAAGAAATTACAGGGAAAAATTTAGGTAGGCAATGTAATTTAGTAAGAACCTTGGTTAAGAGAAAGTGAAAGAGATAAATTGTAACTTCCTATCTTATTGCTATTCTCAAAGCAAAATCTCTAAAGATTTTATTTCTCATAGGAATATCATTTACAAAAGATACATGAAAAAGCCTAAATGAATCTACAAACTACAGAGACACAAATGATCATTAGCAGTCAAATACAAAATACTTCTTCTTCCTGAATGACTGGATAAAAAGGAGATTACAACTTTGAGAAAGAAAAGTTGTATCAGATGGATTCCATGAATTTTGTAATAGTGTTCAGGGGTGATGGATGAACACAAGAAACAAATATACTTCATATTAAAGAGTCATTTCCTAGATGTTTTTATTCAGATTAGCCGGGATTAATTTGTCCTATTAAACACTTTACTATCCCTTTAAAAAGAAGAAACGGTGAGAAGCTTTGATAACCTAACTCAATTAAAGTATTGTTAGAGAGCTTTCTTTCTCTTTTGCCTAATTCAAAACTTGGAAAGTTATACCAAAATGTAATAGGCAAACATGCATGCAAAATGACCCTACAATTAAGAAAATTGCTGGTACCAAATGTTGTTTTTAAGTTCTACAGTAAAACAGTCTCCTAGACATTTAATGTCATGTCATTTGGTAAATGAAAGTTTCCACAAAGTTAGAGCAGTGAGAAGACCTAAAAATTATGCTAGTGAAGAGTCAGACTCAAGAAAATAAAACTATGGGAACACGTTGCTCTAACACTTATTTTATTTGAAGTTACTACAGAACTGAATAAAATGCCGACACCACTACATAAAAATTTATTGAGCTGGCAACAAGGAAAGCGTGATGTCAGCCACCAATGTCACCATCTACATTCCCAAATAGCGCGAAGACTTTAATTCCTGAACTGCCTTCATGCTAAAGTTACAGTAAAAATAAAAACTTGAGGCATGAGGCATTACTAAACATAGATGAATTTAGTTTGGCAGAGTTTTGACTCCAATTAGCCTAGTATTTTAACAAATTCAGTCAAAAACATGGAAAAATGTAAGCTTAAACATTACAATTTTCTAAACGTGCTACATTCTTCACCAAACGGGCTGATACAAGATGTCTTAGGCAACTCTCAGGAATATTCAAATAAGCAATACCACACACAAACAAAATGCAGGATAACAGATACTCAAAAACATGCACATACACACCCACACAAGTCCTTACCTTCATAGCATGGATTTCTTCAAGCAATCGTTGTGCCCGTCTTTGGTTTTTTAACAGTGCATCTTCAGTACCCCTGCAAAAAATACATTACGGTATGTAGCCAGGCAAAGCATTAATTTTAGGTTCATATCACAAAGGATAATCATTTCATTTCCTTTAGAAAAGCATAATAAATCTCTAAATAACAAACACTGCACTATCCTACGCTCCCCATTTCCCCCACTCCCAAAAAGCACCTTGATTTCATAACCAAACCCACATGTTAGAAACTGGCAAAAATAAGTACTGTCTTGGCATTGTATTAATGACTATTACTTTTGATAGTTTGCTTTCTCTAGTTCCTTAATAACACTTTTCCTAATCAATCAAGCAATCAATAGTAATTATATTTAATGTAATATAAATTTCATAAGCTATATTTAGAGGTTGGATATAGTTTTACCAAATGAAAATTTGCTAACTGGAATTTAAGGAAAAAATAAAGAAGGGCTATATTCTGACATATTTATGAAAGAATAGGAAATTAATCTGGAACAAAACATATTTGAAGGCTAAGCATTCATGCTTAAATTATAAGAACTATAAATAGAATACTTTTTTTTTTACTAACACTAGTGATATCGAAAATACAATTATATTTTTCTAAAAAAATATGTGGAACACAATCTTCTAATAAACACTTTCACAAGGTACTGAAGATTTCAAATCACTCAGCAATTGAAGAAAAAAATCTGACATAAAATCTTCAAAACTGATTCTTAAGGTATTACTAGATTTGTTAAGCTATATCAGTACCTTAAAATAACTTCTAATAACATAAAACACATAAGCCCAAGAAAATTTCATTCTGAAAAGACCAAAAAGAGAATTTTGCAAAAGTAGCAGAAAAATTCATCCTGAATCTTAAGCAATGATAGTCCAATCCACAGAAGGGCATGCTGACACAGCACATTCTATCTCACTCACATAATCTCTACATATAAAACAAAAATGCTGTATGAGTAACATAATTACTTCTCTATATCCAACCCTAAAAATTTTAAAGTACCGAATAAAAACAACTTTTGAAATTTATTAGTCACAAGGTCATTGCTTAACATGACTAACTTTTTTGACTTCAGTCTGCCAACACTCCTGACAAGTTTTCGGATAACCAAAACTCGAATTCTCTTCACTTCTTTTCTCATCTTCACAACCTTTGAAGAATAAAGCCATAATTAGAAGAAAGGTACTTACTTCAGGAACAAACACATTTTATTTTGAGTCTTAATATTATAGACTTAGTCTACCACTTTAACTACCCTTTTCGTCAACCTATATTCCTAGCTTGATAAAATCAAACGTCTTCCATAAATAGTGAAGGAATAAATCATCAGTCTAAAAATGTGTGAGGGCTTAAGAAAAACAAGTTATAATTTTTTAAAAAGTCAAAGTATTACCAGAGATAAGTCATTTAATGTTACACTTACATCTTGCTAGGCTTGAAATATAAAAAACTGTGAGTTCCCTGAAATCAGAGCCTATCGTATTCATCTTTGCATTCTTACCATTCAAAACAAAGCCTCACTCATAATGGTAGAAAATTTGCTGAATGAGTGTTTTAATTAGCAAATTACCTTTAATTAACAATTTATTTTACTTATTTATAAAACAAACCTTTCATTATTTTTAGTAATAAATTATTTCAAGTATAACTTTAAATGAAGCTCCACAAACACAAGGGCATGTTGTGTAAGCATGTGTGCATGTAAACATAAATGTTCACACACAAACACGCATGCAGACACATATAAACATACACTTTAAATCATCCTACTAGAGAGCAATGTTTAACTCTAAGAACAAAAAGCAGAGCTACAGGCCAAGAAATGGAAATTCTAGTTATAAAAAACTATACATTATAATAGCATTCAGTACAATCGCATGTAATCACTGAGTTTATGTTTCACCTATCACAGTTAGGAGGCATACATCTTAAAATTACTCCTGGAATGTCCTTCTTTCCCTTCTTCACTTTAGGAACTACATAAAATTCAGTTCCGATACAGTCCTTCGAGTGAAACCTCCAATGACTTCTTAAGTTAGAGATAACCACTGGGGTGCCACTATACTTTACAGATTCTGTTACTAAAGCACCTACCTCATTGCATTGTCACTAGCTGCTCATGTGGCTGATTTTTTCTATAGACAGTGAGCTCCTAGAAAACGGACTCTTGTAATATTTATATAGAGTTTTCAGTGTCCTGCAACAGGACCTGGCACACATTATTCCTCAAATTCTTCTTGCCAAAATAACATTATCAACATCATCCTGTTAGTGATATCTTCTCTTACCCTTCATGTCATTCACTCCCTGATTCATTGAAGATACTGGCAACCAAGTTAAAAATTCTTTATACGCTAAGTTCTGCCATCATTCTGGGTGACTTAAATATCCACTTGAATAGCCCATCTGGTAATTATATATTCCCTTCTTTACTTATTTTCTAAAGACTTAATCTATTCTATCTCAGCCATCCACTTCCGTGGCCACGCTGTCGGCCTTGTCATCATTCCTAATATTCAATTTCTAAAACTATTAATTCAAATACTCCACACTGTGATTACAACTTCTATTAGCTCGTTTGTTCAACTCTACCCACCACAACCATCTTTGACTTCATTTGGACCACCAGTCCACTAACTCCTACACTTTATGTTCTTCCGTTATGCAGTTTAGATACATGATAAACATTTGCCAATATCTGAAACTCCTATCCCTCTGGTTAGCAAACCTTAGTCTTGAATGCAAAAAACAAATGAGTTCTTCGTTATCATATGCCAATAGCAAATACTTGCAAAATTCTGTCTACTATAAATTCATCATAATTAACCTCAAGTGGACTCCCATTCTTCCTAGCAATCCTATAATATTCTTCTGGTCAATTCACTCTACGATGCCTGTTTTAAACTTTTGCCTACTCTCCTAAATCCTCTTGTCTCCCTCCTCTCTGCTCTCTTTTGATAGCGTGGAGGAAATAATTATCAGTTGGGAACCATCACTTTTCTACTAACAAGAATGCAAATTTACTTCCATGACCCATTTTCCTTTATGAATAAAGTTACAATATAAGAAATACTGCTACACATATCTAAGGTTAATCTTTTAACTGTCTTCTGGAGCCCATTCTCTTCTGCCCTCCCAGAACTTTGGATTATCCCTTTACTATAGCATTGCCATTCTTTTAGTTTTAATGCATTTGGTTCTCAGTGATTATTTTAAACATGCTTGGGTCATTTTCATTAGAGACTAAATACACAAACATACTCATTACATAGTTCACTAGGACCACCCCATTTTTAGTTGTGTGGAGAGCTAAGCTTTTAGAAAGAGATGTTCAAAGTCAGTATCTCTATTTCTGCATGCCACAAAAAGCCAGTTTGATTTTCATCCTCATCAGCCTACTAAAAGATGTAACTAAGGACACCAATGATTTCAAAAAAAAAAAAAAAAAAAAGCCCCTGAATCCAACGGAAATTTGACATTTTTGACCACTTTTTCTTTCTTCAAACATTCTTCCCTTGGTTTTCCAAGACAGAATATGGTCCTAGTTTTCTTCTTTCCTTTCTACTCACTCTATTTTGATCTTCTTTGAAAATTAATCCACCTCTACCTAGCCATAAAATGTTAAGAGTTGAAGGGGCAGTCCCAAGCCAGTGTTTCTTTTCACAGTACATTGTTTAGCTTTAAGAGCTCTTACGTGTGCATATTTAATTTGCCACCTAAACAAAGAGGAATCAAAAATTTTACTTTCAGCTGAGATCACTCATTTTAGCTCCAAGCCTAGATGTGCAACTTCCTGCTTGACATTACTTTGAGTGTGCTCAAAGTCACCTCAAATTCACACCTAAACTCATGTTCTTCACCTCCAACAAGACCATTCCCTTCTTTTTTGGGAGAGGGGGTTTCATATTTCAGGGAATGGAACAATCCTTTTAGTCATAAATCTAAGGGTCATTAGAGGTAGCTCTCTTAATCCTTCACAATGAATCTCCAAGTCCTATTAATCTTAAATGCTAATTATCTTTCAAATTGTACCACTTTTTTTTGCACTATCTTGACCTTTTTACAATCTTGGCTGAGTTACTGTTAACTGGTTTCTCTACACCTATTCTTGCCTCTCGCTAATCAGTTATCCACGCTGCCATCAGGATAAAAAAAATTTTTAAATATATATCCGATGTCACACTGTTATGTAACTCTCTTCAACAGTCCCCAACTGCTCTAAGAAGAATCACATTGGCCTTCTTTCAGTCCCCTGTTCTTACCATGCTCACTTGTACTACAAAGCCTTTACAATACCTGCCATTTCTAATGGTCAGAATGTTCTTTCTTCTCATGTCAGCTTGTTAACATCTATTCATCCTGATTTTGGACCAATTGTCATTTCTGTGAAGAATCTTTTCTGGCCTCCCTGAGAGGGTCACAAACACCTTTAGTTGGTACCTTAATACTTTACTTTTAATCTGATTCTGCTTAATATGTGTTACCCCAGTAGGTTTTAAATTCCATGAAGGTCAAGTACCTGGTTTTATTCAACACTACATCTTAACACCTAACATAGTGCATGGCACACAGTATGTGTCTTGTAAATATTAGTTAAATAAATGACCAGAAATGTAAAAATACACACTGTCAATTCATTGTTTCAAATGCAAAACAGAATTTAAAAATGCAGAGTAATCAGGTTTCTTTCCCGCTAGATAAGTTAACCTCTTAGGAATTTGTTTCAAATTTAAACTCATTTAAAAAAAAAAAAAAAAAAAAAAAATAAAAAAAAAAAAAAAAAAAAAAAAAAAAAAAAAAAAAAGAACTGCTACATTGCATTAACAGAATTATAGGGCTTCATGATCCACTTTTTGAAAGTTAAGTTGTTCATAAAATAAACAAATAGGAAGCTATGAACTATACATTAAAATATGTTAACCAATGTTTCTAATTGCTGAACTTTACAGGTGCATGGTTTGGTTAACCACTGTTAACCAAACTTTACTAATAAATTGCAGTGGGCAGAGTTGGTCCTTGGTTACATTCCAATCATAAGAAAGCCTGTCTCCAATTTTAAAATTCCAACTTAAGAAATACTACGTTTTTCATTAATGGATAAGGGAATTCTAAAAGCAAAGGGAATACCTCATATACTTAAGACTTAGGTTTCTCCAAGAACTCAGATTTTTGCAAAACTGATGACTAATACAGCCTTTATGTTAGGATTTTAAAAGTTGCCAATTCATTTGTCACCCAGTAATTATAAAGTTGGTTGACAGGCAACCCAGAAGGCAATGAACAGGCCTAACACACCAATACCCCCTTAAGTCCAAATGCACTGCTTAGTGGCAGTACACTCTGGCAAACCTCTAATCAAAACCAAGAAGAACTATCATTGTTAGAATTGTGAAAACAGTAGGATTATTGTTTGGGAGGGTAAGAATAGAGGAACAATGTGAGCACAGAGAAAACAGAGGCTTAAAAATGGAAATAAAATATGCTGACACAGAAGAAAGAAAATGAAAAAGAAGTAGATGGGGGTCTGAAGACAGAAACTGAAGGGAAAATCTGAGGCCATCACCAAGACTGATAAAGCCAAGCTGAGGGCCTCCAAACAGCAAGAAAATGCATTTAAGACAATATATAAAATCTGAAGAAAAAAGAGTTAAGACTGACATACACAGTGAATATATATGTACTGACAGTGAAGAATCACCTAGAAATTAGGCACACAGAGGCCTTTAATATTAACCTGGCAAAATCTAAACATAGAGTATCTCTTGCATATACAGTATAAAAATACTATAAATAAAGTGGAAGTCTAATACAGCTATTTGGGAAAAGATCATGTGAGATGACTCAGAAGAGTCAACATAAACACAGGAAAGGAAACCACAGAGAGGCAAAAGCCAGCAGTGTCCAACTCAAGGAAATTCCAAAGAAAGGGTTCCCCAGCTCAGAGACTTGAGAAATCTAATCTCTTCTGGAATAACTCAATTATGGGAAGAGATGCATCATAGCTCAACATGAATCATGCAACTAAAACCCCTTTCTGTATTTCTACATACCAAGCAGCTGATGGTCAGTAGACAGGAAAAGACTGTGTTTTACAATGTGAGTATTATTATGTATATTAGGTATGTTTTTTAATAAACTAGCTTTATCATC